ATTAAAAGCAAAGACAAAAAGATGATCCAAAAATAAAGCAGTGACTTTAAAAAAAAGGTCACAAATACTGGATAACAAGAATATCAATTCACTTAAAGTTTACACTTATGACATTTCCTTTTATTTTTATGTATGTATGTATGTGTGTATTCCAAAGGAAAGGAAAAGCACAACTTCAAAATCTGCTTCAGAGGTTCACTATATCCCCTGATAAGATTATAAGGGTGTATGTAAAATCTTTAAGTCTGCTAGACTTTTTAAATAATGCAGTAATAGAAGACAAAGCAGACAGAGGAAGCATATGATTTTGGAGTTCTTTATTTATTCATTGAAAATCATTAAACTATCACAAAACCATTGCCTGAAATTGTATTATTCTCCTTTGCTTCTTTTGTTGCTATTTTTTTATAAGTTTTGGCTTAATGATGCTATTCAAATTATAGTGCAATAAGGCATTTAAAAGATGAGAAATCTCAAAATTATCTTCTCTAGCTATTGGGCTTGTTTACTAGGAACTGCAGTTAGCATGTTTTTGTTGTTGTTTTAATAGCACCTGTTGTTTTCTAGGACACAGGAAACTGCAGGACAGAAACAAATACAAATATTTGTTCAGACTTTCACACGTTTATAATGAGATATAAATGCTAGAGAAATTAAATCTCGGTTGAACAAACTTGAATACATCTATTCTACAAGCGAATAATCAGTTGTGCTTCTAACCTTTTATTCTGCTCTTCAAAGTATAAAAATCCACAGCATACACAAAGGCCATGTTTAACAGTTTAGTGCACTTTTAAAGGCACATTTGTCTCAGAACACTTATGTGGAAATAAAAGAATTGGCAAGGCGTCAGGCAACATTCTAAATCTAACAATTATTTACTACATACCAGGTTGTTAGGATTTTTCTCCCCCTTTTTTGCTTGGGACCAATTGTTTTCAAATTATAAATAGACAATATTGTCCTAACTGCTGTAAAAGGATCCTTACAAGCTCACAAGTGTATTGTAACACTTGTGAGTCCAAATAAAGTCCAAATATTCCTGGAACTATTGTTTAAAAAGATAATTTACTGAAACGTACTATCCTATTCAGTGAAGGGCTTTTATATACAAGGATGTCTTCATTCTTATTATAATGCTCCTGTTTTGAAAAATAGTTTACACAGATAACCTTAGAGAGGACATAAAAGATTGAAGGTTTTTTTTTTCAATAAGGTACTGCAATTAACGTGGATTTCAAATTCTCAATTTAGCATTATTTTCTAAAAATAAAATAAAATAACTGCCAGTGGAACAAATCATAGACCTGAATTTTAAGATTTAAAATGATAATAATTAAGATATACCAGATTTCTTAATAACTGAAGTTTATGTCATTACTTAAGGGTGACTCAACTGGCTTAACTCTCAGATCTTGAAAGAATGCACATTTTTGATCAAGCAGCAAAAAAGGGAACTCCATGCAGTACAAATATTATTTTGGTTCATATGACTTTCTTGAAGCATTAGTTCTCTTACAGTTTCCCTAAAATAAAAATAACTTTCCTTAATTTTTAATAAAAATATCCATACTATAAAACCCTAAATGATAAGTCTGTCCATTACCATATTGCAATACATTGAATGCTACAGATAATTAGATATTTGGCAATGATTAAATATACAATCAAGTCTGTAACTGAATTATCTGCCATGCTATTGTTTGTCCTCTTTTTCTGTTTCTTACAATTTCTCCAAGCATAGAGCTCTCCCATCAGAACTAGGTATTCCCATGAGGTGTCCAAAAAAGCCTTACTGTTTGTGCCTTGAGGAAGAATTCTGGTTTGACTTGTTCTATGATCCAGTTGTTTGTTACCTCAGCTCTCCATGGTATTCCTAGGAATCCTCTTCAAACCTAATTTAAAAGTACCAATACTCAGTTCTCCTGAGTGTCAGAGATGAAACCATTAGCTGATGAATTCCACAGGAAAACATTTCCAAAGTCTTCTTTGGTACCCTACTAAGTGCTAGTCTGTTGCACATTTGATTGCTGGTTCCTTCTTATGGTTGATCAAAATGAAGCTATCTACCATTTAAATATATTCCTTCCTTACAACTCTTGTCAGTTCTAAGGTTGGCTGATGGACCTATTATGATGATTGTGGTCTACTTTGCATTTAATCTTATGTTTCCTATTTTCATTCTACTTGACTTTTATTATTAGAGATCCAAATCATTTATATTTTCATCTGTAATAGTAATATATTCAATATAGTATAGGTAGTCTCCAACTTACAACTAATTTGTTAAAGAGTGGTTTAGGTGACACTATAGCCAAATGTATCAGACAACTAAGTACAAAGAGTCGGAATTAATTCTCTAATATAGAATTAGAAAACTGTAATTTAGTGGGGGTTTCAGAAGGTTTGGGTTTTAGCTTCGGCTCTGGGGCCAATATTTTTCAACAATTTTTTTAATGACTTGGATGATGGTAGGGATGAGCAACTTATCAAATTTAAGTTTAACAGAAAGTTGAGAGATGCAGTATGACAGCAGATTTTAGACTGATCTGGAGAAATTGGTTGACTGGGCTGAAAAGAACAGGATGTCTTTTACTAGCGAGATATATAAAGTATTACATTTAAGAAGGAAATAAATATAGGACATGTGTACACAATGGGGAAATCATGATTTGGAAACGCAGAGAAGGATTTGGATGTGGTCATTGATAGCAATCTGAACATGAAAGACCAACACCATACTGAACTGCATTAGAAAGTGTATGAAAGAAGCATGAAGTTATCCTTCTTCACTACCTGGCATTGGTGAGATACGCTTTTGAATACTGCATATGATTCTAGGCATCTCATTTACAGAAAGATATTGACAGCTTGAAGAAGGTTCAGAAAATAACAATAAACATGATTCAGAGACTTCAGGATATTCCCTATAAGATAATAGATTAAATAATAGATTAAAAGAGTTTACAATGTTTAGTTTGGAACAGCCATGCTCAGATATATAAGGGGAAACCACAGGGAACATGATCAAAAAATACTTTCCAGAGAAGCTGGAAGCAGAAATAGATAATATAAGTTATTCCCTAAATTTCAGTTAAATATAATTCTTTTTTAAAATCTTCTTGATAGATCTATACAACTGTGGAAGAGACTATTTGTGGTTCTCCACCTCTGGAACAGATAAGACAGCCCTTATGAAAAATTGGTTTTCATACTTTAGAGGGTTCAATTAGATGATCTTGTGGCCCCTTCCATCCCATTGTATGATTCTTCAGAAAAAGCTTATATACTTTAAATAAAACTTTCATTATTTTTTAAAAATGACCATTCTTTAAAGCAGCAATTCTCAATCTTTTCTTTACTAGAGACCCCCTTTAAATACATTTTATGACCATGGACCATGGTCACGAACCCCAGGACTCAAGATTTAAATCATAACATTTCTTCAAGCCTTCGTGGACCTCCTGTGACATTGCACGCACCCCCAGGGATCCAGGAATCACAGATTGAAAACTACTGCTTTAAAACATTGGAAGGTATTTAGCAGTCATTTTGTCTATATATTATACATTGGAATGACCTGATTCCTAAAACAGTGGCTGGTACTCAGAAAATGTAAAAGCTAAGCATTTAGCAGTGCTGTTAATAAAACAGCCAATGAAGAAGTAATTTCGATGCATTTTAAATCAAAATATTGTCATACCCTTTGCCTCATATGCAAAAGCCAGGGCAATATGGAGGCAAACATAATGCAGGGAGACATAAATAAGCTCTGTAGTACTAATTGGACACAATACTGTAATCTGCAAAGTTGATTAACACCCCCATTCTCAGGCTGGGAAATGCAGTGGCAGAATTAGGCATATGAATATGCATGGCTTCTATAATTACAACTCTCTTTAAAATCTATTCACTTGATGAAATTGTGTTTCACATTATTGGGATAGCTCTGCGTGCCTTGGAAAATAGTTATATAAAATGACTCTATACAAAGAAAGCATTCTACGAATCAATCTATGTATACACAACAATAAGTTCACATTTTTTTAAAAAGTAGCAATCTGGACAAACTATTAGGTTTATTTTGCAATTTGATTTAATGTCTTGGGGAAAGGAGCTTGATTTACTTTGGATTAAACTAGTAGCTCATCAACCCACAACCTCAAATAACCCTTCAGGGGGATGGTGATAAAGAAAGCAAATTAAAATGAAAGTCCAGAGCCATAAATTGCATAAAGATCAGGATTTGCTAGGGCTGTGGAAGACAATCGAAAGAGGTGCCTCACAAACTGTAGAAATGTATACAAAGTATTTTTTTTACTCATTACAACAGTCACTTTTTTTGTAAAGCTCATTTGGCTACTTCACATGGAAATACAGTCAGGGACAGCTATCAAATCAGTCACAAAAGTCTTGCAAACTTATTTGCTTTAAGAATTCAAAGACAGCTATTTCCAAATCAAAGTCCCACGCTCGGTTGGCAAAGCAGTGGTTTCAAATACTTTGTACAATCACGTTATTTACTAAAGTCATACCTATCTGTATTACCAAATACAAACTTTCTTGTGTAATATATTATTCTAAGCTGCCATAAGACAATTATGATTTTGCTGAATATAAACCTGAAGGATGGATGGATGGATGGATGGATGGATGGAGAGAGAGAGAGAGAGAGAGAGAGAGAGAGAGAGAGAGAGAGAGAGAGAGAGAGAGAAAGAATATCCCCCACCTTTCCAAACACACAAAATTCTTAGTAGAAGCAACAATAACATTTGCCCAAGGCAATTACAAATAAAACAACATGGTTATTAATGAGACCATGGTCTTTGTTTATAGTGAAAGTAACTGAATCCTTTCAGAGTGAAAAGTACAGTGCTTGCTGTTGTTGAGGGGAAAAACCAAGGCGATTGAATCATTACATAATTCATTTCTGTTTTTGATAAAATCTGTGTATTTGTGTGCTGTTATAATCTATAACTGCAAAACACAATCCCACTCACCTTATATACAGCAGGAACAATTTGGTGCATTTTTAGCCTATGAAATACAAATACATCATAAACCGCTGACACCGCCAGCACGGTAATTCCTTGCTCCTTCCATAACATGCTGCAAGTGGCACACAGACCGGCACCCAAGATCCAGCCCCAGGTTCCTTCCGAGTAGTTTCTTGTACAGCAGTGCTTAATGTAACAGACTAGGGAGAGCAGAAAGAAAAGGCAAGCTCCAATATCAGCTCTTCCCACAATCCCTGCCACTGCTTCAGTGTGAATGGGATGAGAAGCAAACAGCAAACCAGCTAATAAGGTCCAGTGTCCATCACCAAACAGCACTCGAGAAAAATTCGTGAAAAGACCCGTGACTGCTGCATGTAGAAGGACATTTACAAGATGGTAACTCCAAGGATCCATTCCACCAATAGCATAGTTAATGCGAAAAGAGAGTGTGCAGAGAGGTCTGTAGGATTTATGACTCCCGCTGTGGGTCAGAAGAGTACCCCAAAAGTCATTATAGAATAACTGCGTCCAAGGTGTTTCAGGAAGAAGATCTTGGTTTGTCTTGATTGCTCGGCTAAAAAAACAAAACAAATACAAAAATAATCAAAACTACATGACAACAATAAACAGGATTGCTAAATAATATAACTGAAATCAACAAATTTATTTCCAGTTTGACATGAAATTAGCATCAAAAAGTACACTATCAAGCGTAGTACTACTTCCTCCTCTTTAACCTCCACCCAAGTAGTGATAGAAGTGCTGCTTCTATTAACTTTTCAATTCAATAAATGTCTTCATCAATTGGCTTTTCAGACCTTGGAAATATAGAATACATTAACTTAAAACAATTCATTCATTTGAGCCTAATCCAGAAGCAATCATTGATAAATTATAGTTATGATGTAAAAGAAATATAATTAACTGGAAAAAATGTGACTGAAATTTACAGATAAATGTCTTTAAAAAAAGAGACAGCTATTTAATATGAGTAGGAAAGGTAGCTAAAAGTTAATAGATTTGAAGGTCTATACTTTGGTTCCACATGAAGTACATACATAATTTGCCTTTGGTATCCACATATTTTAGTCAACAGATTACCTCCTATTCTTCTCTTTGAAACTTTCTATACAATGAAAACAGTTGCTCCAGAGGGTAAAAAATCTTCAAGTTGCTGATGGAATGATTTCCATAACTGGAAACATTCCACTGGACTTTTCTCTCAATTCATAGAAAAGCATACTAAATCATTTCAAGTTAAATTGAACGATAAGTACTACTTATTTTTAAGTTTTGATCATCTAATTGAGGATGAAAGAAACATGTTCTTACTGTAAATTGATAAATATTTCGCACATACACACTATACTTTTTAAAGCAGGATTAGGAATCCTGTGAACTTCAAATTTATTTATTTATAAGCATATTTACATTTCTTCATTTTCTCTGAGCCTTATGAGGTACATGCTTTAGTCAAAAGGTGATAAAATACTATACACAAATACTGAATGATGATACAGTAATGCATCATAATACAATATTCATATTTCATAATACAATATTCATGGCATGGATAGTTCACTCAATAAAAGAAATCATTAAAAGCCTTCTGTACAGATAGGTCTTGATGTATTCCAAAAAGTCATGACAGCCATAATAGGAAGGATTGTTCTCAACAAATAGTGCCTATTTCTAAGCCCCTCTGACAAAATGTCCAGGTGGGGGAGGGGATTTGCAGCAGCACTTTTGATTTATATTTGTTGGGCATGTTGATTTTACTTGGGATATGTACTCTCACACTTTCCCAGATCCCAACCCCATTAGAATTTTTTAAGTAAAAACCAATACCGTGAATTACATGTAACACATTATAATATAACATTTGGCCTGTAAGCACACATACATTGGCATCAGTTGAAGTGTTCAAGTGATCGAGTTGATGTACCATCCTGTTTTAGGAAAAGTCCTAGTCTGTTTCTTTTAGAGTTCTTAAAGAGGAGGTGAATCAGATTTCCTCTGAGATTATCTACAGCAAGAATCTATCTTTTCATCTCCTTTCTTTTTTTTATAAAAAGTTTTTTATTTTTTCATTTTCATAACAAATAACCACATGTGTACTGTTACCTAATCAATATTATTTTATATTATTAAATATTAACATCAATTTGTCTTACCATCAACTCCCAAGAACGATTATTGGCTCTTCTGCTCTCCATACACCATATTTGTACCCTTAGCCATCGCTTTCTTCTCCCTCTCTCCTCCTCCTCCCTACCGCCTTTCTTCCCTCTATCTCCTTCTCTTCTCTACTTCCCCTTCTTCTCTCCTTCTCCTCTCTCCCCTTTCCACTCCTTCTTTCTCTCCCCCTCTTCCCCCCGCCCTCTCTCCTAACCCTCTCTTCTTCACTTACCTCTTCCCTCTCTTCTACACTCTTCATCTCATTTACTTGGTATATTTCAGCCTCTGAACAAGCTCCATTTTATGTTGATGATATTTATAATTTCATTATAATTATAATAAACATTTCAATAAACATATTTAATTTTAACATATATCCTCCTCCTTTTTTTGAAAGAAAAAAAAGTATACATATATAGCAATTATATTTTTAAACCACCACCATCCCCAACTTATTTTTGGCTGGAATGTGGACCTGTTTACAATTCCCAACTATTCTCATCATAACATTGTACAGTTATACATCATTACATGCCCCAAACTTTTTAGTTCTGTCTTTATAATCTTAATAATTTTCCATTATAAGTATGTTTCATGTTCCCCTTCCATTTTTCCATATCTTAACTTAGCTTACATTTAATGCTCTTTAAATCACAATCCTTTCTGTTCCATGTTCATTATAATTCCATTCGTCTGCTATATAAAATAACAAGCAATACACACGTCACTTTGTTCATCTTCTTAAGAATTCTAGAGTATCCATATTTTATGTATTTTAACCTATATTTAATTATCTTTATATTATCATATTCAATCAATTGGCAACTCAGTTTAATTATCATGTAAAATAATAATTCACATACCTCTACTTTATATTCTCCACATAACAATTTCTAAATATATTTCTTCCTAATAAGTCTTTTATATCAAATACTAAACTGTTTTTTACATAACAATTCTTGCTGTTCAATGTTCATTACAATTCCATTGGTCTGCTATGTAAAGTAACAAGCACTACACACTTCACTTTTGTTCATCTTCTTAAGATTTCTATATGTATCCATATTTTATATATTTTAACCTTTATTTGATTATCTTTCCATTATCATATTCAACCAGTTAGCAATTCAATTTAGCTGTCATGTAAAAAAGCGAATCACGTACCTCAACTTTATATTCTCTACATAACAGTTTCTAAATATCTGATTTTTTTCTAGTAAGTCTTTTGTCCCAATTTTCTATTTCTGTCCTTTTCTTTGTTGGGACATTTCCCCCTTTTCAATTTTCCCTATACCACTGTCAAACCCAGTGAAATATTTTGTCTGCTTTTTATTTTCCACTGTTTCTATCATTTCATCATCCTCCCCCTCTTCTTCCCTAATTTCCTGCCTCTCCTTAGATTCTAACTTCAAAATTCTATTTAAACTTAGTTTTAATGATTTACGCATATTTTTTCTAATTTCACATAATTTTTCAAATTCCCACCTTTTCATAATGTCCAGTTCCAAGATTACAGTTAGTTATACAGTTAATTATAATTTAAGTTCCAAGTTTTCCAAGGTTTCTTCTTATTTTGCAATTCTGATCTAAACTTGTATTCTGACTCAACTAAAATAGAGAGGAAGAGAAGGGGGAGCCATCTTAATCACTTCGCTTTCTTGGTCTTTGTTCTTCCCTCAGGCAAATGGCTCTGTGTTCTTTCAACTCAATGATTCCCAGCAATATAGCTTGATATTTTTAAACAAAGTTTTAAATCCAGACAAAATAGGATTATGAGTGGAGAAATAGTGCTTTTTCTTTATTTTTTTTCCTTGTTACTTTCTACCTCTCATTGATAAGAGTTGCTTAAGGTATGTAAATTAGAACAAACACGAACAAAGCAAGTCTCCTTGGTATGTTTTTAAGTTTCATTTCGCCTCTCCTTCTTCTTTCCCTTTGTAGAATTCCCAACTGTCAATTAATCTCTTTTAAAGATGCAATATTTTCAAATCTAAATTCAAAGTTTGTATTCCAATGGGTTAGTCAATTCTCTATTTCCTCATTTCTGTCTCCAAGTTGTTTAAAACAAGCAGTTCCCTTTGGGCTTAATGATTCAAACCACAATTTTTCCCCCTTCTTTCTTTTTTTTACATCAAAAATCCCAATCTATCCATCAATATTATTTATTTCTACTCACAAGGATCTTTGCCTTCTCCAGATTCTGATTTATGTCAGTTGGTTAATTAGATCTTCTTACCAGGTTTCACATTCCATTCCTACACCGCTCCTGCTCAGAATGCTTAGTCCAGAAGCCAACAACTTGATAGCAGCCATGCTGCCTCCCCCCGATGCCGATTCAGAGAGCTAATCTCCGACCTATGAGGAACCTGTTCTATTTCTCTGGGTCTAATGAGATGCAGTTCCCTTCTTCACTTTCCCTGTAGGAAAGTTCTGATCCGAAGATCAATCAGCATCAGTTTGTCAGACAGAATTTATGTGAGGCTCTTCAGAGCCCATGTTTTTTTCTGTCTGTCTCACTGAGGTACTTCCAGTCTTGTCTCTTTTCATCTCCTATCTTGCAGATGACCAGATGCAGCAGGTGTCAAATGGTGGTATCACAAAATGTCAGCTCTATCAAATGACTGCACTATGGCTATTTCCAATCTCTCTTCCTCTACCATCACATACTTTCCCATTTCCATATGCCTCCATGGGAAAGAGTGTCACTGGTCCAAAGTCACCATGCTGGTTTCATGCCTACAGTGGAACTAAAAGGCATGATCTACTGGTTTTCCAATCTGGTACTATATAACTACTGCATCAAATTGACCCTCACAGTAAGTTACTGAAATAAAAGCAAGTGTGGGTTTGGTTGCTTATAATCAGCAGTTTCTTATTGGAATGTGTTAGTAGTACAGTCTTCAATTTACAACCACAATTGAGCCAAAAAATTGTTGCTAAATGAGACATTTGTTAAGTTAATTTTGTCCCAATTTACAACCTTTCTTGCCATGATTTTAGGTGAATCATTGCACCTGTTAAGTTGGTAATAAGGTTGTGACTGGCTTTCCCATTCACTTTGCTTGTCAGAAGGTCACAAAAGGTGATCATATGGCCCTGGGACACTGCAACCCTCATAAATACATGCCAGTTGCTAAATGTCCAAATTGTGATTATGTGATCACAGGGATCTGCAATGGATATAAATGGGTAAAATTGTCATAAGTCACTTTTTTCAATGCAATTGTAACTTCAAATGGTCACTAAACAAACTGTGGTAAGTTGAGGACTACCTGTATTAAGCTGAATCTACAAAGGGAGTCACTGATGTATTAATTTTGTTCCTTGTAAATCTTATTTTCTTCAGCAAATATGGTAAATGAAAGCTGAAAAATATTTTTTATTAAATGCTTATTT